GTGGTTTCGGGTCGTTTCCCCCTCCAGCAGCAGATCCCGGGGGAGGCTAGCCCGGGGACGGGCCCCTGCGGCTGCTCTGTCCGGCCGGGCCTTATGGGTCGCGTTCAACTGGTAATGCTCCCCCCTTGTCCGCCCCCCCCCTTTGTTTTTTTCCTCTCCTGTTTGGTAACGCCAGTTTTGAGCGCTACCGCTTGGGGAAGCGTTCAGGTTGGACTTGAGCGTTCACAGAAAGCTGTAGGCTACTTGTGTGTTCAGCTTCAGCCACAAAACCTTTAAAGATGTGTTGCTTTAGGGGGGGGAAAAACCATATTCGGTAGCTACTCTCTTACATTTCAAGTTTTGTCTTTATTTTTGAAGCCTGGACTCATAGGGAGTTGAAGCGTACAGAGACGTATTGTCACTTTCCTGTTCACTCGGTACTTTTTGGACCTGGTCAACTCCAAGCAAACGTGATGGGATAGAAATCTCGGGTACTAAGTTCCTACAAGCCTCGTGGAAATACGTGGTGGAGACCAGAAACACAAAGTGGGACACCTATGTAGGAGGGGGCTGCAGCGTCATCTGTATTGTTAAACGCCTGAGGAATCAGAACCGTGTGCCAGTTGCACTAGCTGCTTTTAAATTGCATGAGGGGGAAGCCCAAAGAATCCATAGTTTAAGGGATTTGCAGGCTGTTTCTTTTGGTGTTTTAATATTTTTGTCAAGACAAATCGATACTCGTGTGAAGTGTGTGAACGAAGCATTGAAAGGGCTGGAATCGCTTCTTGCATGTTACAGCCTACCTCCTTTTCTCCTATTTGTGCTTTGTGTTTTAGGGCTTCAGTGAAATTAAGAATGCATGCATAAAAAGAAAAAAAAAAAGAAGATAACATACAAATTTAACAGCTGAACAGACTGGTGGTTTCATGAGTGGAAGCCTTTCATTAGGTTGTAGTCCTTTCTCTGCCTAGCTGCCCAAAAATGTTGACTGGCTTTATCAAGCTGAGGTGTAAATTGGTCCAAAAACAACCTCACTTGTGCTTCCAGCATTTACTGAACCTCAACTAGGGCAGCCACCCTAATCTAACAAAGA